TAGAGAGAGAGATGTGAAGAGAGAGAGCGAGAGGAGGAAGAGAGAGGATGTGAGATGAGAGCGAGAGCGATGGAGGAAAGAAGAACAAGAGAGAGAGAGAGAGGAAAAGAGAGAGAGGAAGAAGAGAGAGAGAACAGAGAGAGAGAGGAAGAGCGCGGAGAGAGGAGAGGAGAGAGAGAGAGAGAGAGAGGAGAGTAGAGAGAGGAGATGCGACTAGTATGGATGGGGCGAGAGAGAGAAGAGAGGAGAGAAGAGAGAGAGAGCTGAGAGAGAGGAGGAGAAGAGATGAGAGAGAGAGAGAGAAAGAAGAGAGAGAAAGAATGAGAGATAGAGAGAAGAGAGAGAAACGAAGAGAGAGCGCGATAGATGAGGAGAATGAGCGAGAGAGGAGAGAGAGAGAGTAGAGAGATAGAGAGCGAGGAGAGAGGAGAGAGCAGAGAGAGAGAGAGAGAGGAGAGAGAGCGAGATAGAGAGGAGAGAGAAGAGACGAGAGAGAAGAGAGAAGTAGAGAGAGCTAAAGATGAGAGAGGAAGCGAGAGAGAGAGAGAATAGAGAGAGAAGATGCAAGAGAGAGAAGAGGAAGAGAGAGAGAGAATGAGAGCGAGAGAGGAGAGAGATGAGAGAGAGAAGAGGAGTAGGAGAGAGAGAGAGAGAGAGATGAGAGAGAGAGAGAGAGAGAGGAGAAGAGAGAGAAGAGAGAAGATCGCGAGGCGAGAGAGAGAGAGAGAAGAGAGGGAGAGAAGAGAAGAGAGAGAGAGAGAGAGAGAGAGAGAAGAAGAGAGAGAGAGGAAGAGGAGAGAGAGAGAGAAGAGAGGAGATTAAGGAGAGAATGGTAGAGTATTCGTAGAGAGAGAGTAGAGAGAGAGAGAGAGAGAAGAGAGAGTGAGAGGATAGAGAGAAGAGAAGAGAGCGAGGAGAGAGAAGGAGAGAGGAGAGATCGGAGGAGGAGATTGAGGAGGAGAGGGAGTAAGATTAGAAGAGATAGAGAATAGAAGAGAAGAGAAGAGAGAGCGAGAGAGAGGAAGCGAGAGATAAGAAAGAGAAGGACGGAGAGAGTGAAGAGAAGGAGCGAGCGAGTCGAGAGGAAGAGAAGAGAGAGAGAGAGAGCGAAGAGAAGAGTTAGAGGAGAGAGCGGAGAGAGCGAAGTTGAAGATGAGGAGAGAAGCGGAGAGAGATTGAGAGAGGGGATGAGAGAGAGAGAGAGAGAGAATCGAATAGGAGAGAGAGAGAGAAGAGAGAGGGAGAGAGAGAGAGATGAGAGAGAGAGTAAGAGAGAGAGAAGAGAGCAGAGAGAAGAGGGAGAGAGATTGGAGAGAGAGATAGAGAGTGATGAGAGCGAGAGAGAGGGAGAGAGAGAGAGAGAGAAAGAGGGAGATGGAGGAGATGAGAAAGATGAGATGATAGAGAGATAGCGAGGAGATGAGGGAGAGAGAGAAGAGAGAGAGAGAGAGCGATGGAGAGAGAGATAGAGGAGAGAGATGGAGAGAGAGAGAAGCGATAGAGCGAGGAAGATGAGCGAGAGAGAGAGGATGGAGAGAGAGTCGAGAGAGAGTAGAGTGGATTGAGAAGAGAGAGAGAGAGAGAGAATGAGAGAGATAGGAGAGAGAAGAAGAAAGACGTGAGAGAGAGAGGACAGAAGAGAGAGGAGGAGAGAGACTGGGAGAGAGAGAGAGAGAGTAGAGAGAGATATAGCGAGAGAGATGGAGAGAGAAGAGGAGCGAGAGAGATGAGAGAGAAGAGAGAGGAGAGTAGAGAGAGAGAGAAGCGAGCGAGGCGAAAGAGAAGAGATGTAAGAGAGAATAGAGAGGGAAGAGAGAAGAGAAGGAGAAAGAGAAAGGAGAGAGAGAAGAGAGAATTGGAGGAGTAGAAGAGAGAGAGGAGAGAGATTGCGAGAAGATGAGAGAGAAGAGAGAAGGAGAGAGAGAAGAGAGAAGGATAGGTAAGGAGAAGATGAGAGAGAAGAGGAGAAGAGAGAAGAGAGAGAGGAGGCAGAGAGAATGATGATAGCGAGATGAGAGGAAGAAGAAGAGAGACGAGTAGAGAGAAGAGCGAGAGCATAGATGAGAGAGGAGAGAGAGAAGAAGAGAGAAGAGAGACGAAGCGAGTAGAGAGAGAGAGAGAAGAGAGAGAGACGTGAGAGAGAAGAGATCGAAAGAGGAGATAAGAGCGCGAGAAGAGAGAGAGAAGAGATGGAGGAAGAGGCGAGAGAAGAGGATGATGAGAATTAGAGATGAGAAGAGAGAGAGAGAGAGAGAGTAGATATAATAAGAGAGAGGAGTAGAGAAGAGAAGATAGCTTGGTAGTAGTCTAGACGAGAGAGAGGGTGGGAGAGAGAAGAGAGAGAGCGAGAGAGAGGAGAGAGAGAGAGGAGAGAGAGAGAGAGAGAGAGAGAGAAGAGACGAGAGAAGAGAGAGAGAGAGAGAAGAGATAGCGAAGAGAGATATAGAGCGAGAGAGGAGAGAGATGAGGAGATAGAGATAGGTAGAGAGAGAGAGATTAG